ATCTCAGTTGTAATCCCCTTGGGCTTCCCATCACCAAACCACCCATGTGCTATCATCGTAGTCCAGTGCATTTTCCTCCCCCCACTGTTTTTGATCCCATTCCCCACTCCATCCCCATAAAATGTCTCTGGTATATGGCTGTTCATTATTTCTATTATTTTCTTGCCTGATCCATTATATTCCTGCTATGAGTGAAACCATCCAGTATTTTTCCTTTTCTTTCTGGCTTATTTCACTAAGCATGATCCCTCCCAGCTCCATCCATGTTGCTGCAAAAGACATGTGTTTCTTTTTTTTGGTTGCTGAGTAGTATTCCATGTGTACATGTACCACATCTTTTTAATCCAGTCATCCACTTTTGGGCATTTGGGCTGTTTCCATGTCTTTCCAGTTGTAAATAAAGCACCAATAAACATGGGGGTGCAGGTGTCTTTTTGAGTCAGTGTTTTTATATCTTTTGGGTAGATACCTAGGAATGGGATTGCAGGGTCATATGGAAGCTCCATGTTTAACAGTTTGAGGAACCTCCAAACATAGTGGAGGCACTATGGAAAACTTTCCACCAGCAGTGCAGGAGAGTTCCTTTTTCTACACATCCTCTCCAACATTTGTTGCTTGTTTGTTCTCACTGGGGTGAGGTGGTATCTCATTGTGGTTTTAATTAGCATCTCCCTTATTACCAGTGATGTTGAACATTTTTTCATATGCTTGTTGGCTCTCTGCATTTCCTCTTTGGAGAAGTGTCTTTTTAGCTCTTCTGCCCATTTTTTGATGGGATTGGTTATTTTTGTTGAGTTTCATCAGTTCTTTGTATATCTTTGTGATCAATACTTTATTGCTAGTTTTGTGTGAGAAAATTTTTTTTCCCACTTATTAGGGTGTCTTTGTTTTTGTAATGTCTCTTTTGCTGTACAGAAAGAAGCTCTTTAACTTGATGTAGTCCCATCTATCCTTGCCTTCACTATTGTTGCATTGGATGCTGAAGTGTTGGCCCATCTTTGCTTCCAGGTGTTTTATGGTTTCCATTCTTATGTCTAGGTCTTCAGTTCACTTCAAGTTGATTTTTTTTTTTTTTTTAAAAATTTATTTATTTGTGCATACAGAACTGGGGTACAGACCAGAGGCTCAGGGGCGGTGAGAGGCTTCACCAGAGACAGAATGGGGAGCAGAACAGACAGATCTATGAAGTACACTGCTGAGGGGAGCAGCGGGCGGGCCAGGAGAGGTCTGCCTCGCCATGTGGACTCCTCCGGGGCAGGCGGGAATCGAACTCATGCGGAAGTGGCTTTAGATTCTCAGTGCAGTGCTTTAACCCGCTGCGCCACCAGGGAGGGCCTCAAGTTGATTTTTTGTGTATGGTATGATGTAGTGACCTAGTTTCATTTTTTTGCATGTAGCTTCCCAGTTTTCCCAGCACTATTTGCTGAACAAACTTTTTGTTCCATTGTATCTTCTTTGCTCCTTTGTCAAAGATTAGCTGTCCATAAATCTGTGGCTTTATATCTGGGCTTTCTATCTGAAGCCACTGGTCTGTATGTCCTTGTTCCAGTACCATGCAGTTTTGATTATTATGGCTTTGTAGTATAGCTTGAAGTTTGGGATTGTAATGCCTTCATTTGCTTTCTTCTTAGTCATGAGATTTTGGCTATCCAAGGTCTTTTGTTCCATATGAATCTCATCAATATTTTTTCTATTTCTTTGAAGAATGTCATTGAGACTTTTATTGGGATGGCGTTAAATGTGTATGTCACTTTTGGTAGGATGGCCATTTTGATGATGTTAATTCTCCCAATCGTAGAGTCTCATTTTTAACCTTCTGTTCCTTGATTTTGTTTCTCATACATTCATTTTTCCTAATCTTCTTGTATACCCTTGACCCACTTTTCTGTCGTACCTGAATTCTTTGAATTTCTTTATGATGGCAGCTCTTGATTTCTATGCCTGATGTAAAGAATAGATTTTCCATGTTTTGTGACTGGATTCTGGAGATGTATGCTCTTTTGTGATACAGTAGTCCCCTTCAGACTCCTATAACCATATATGTTTTTTTATTCTAAGAGCTTTCATGGTCTCATTTCTGTGGTTTTGGCTTCTGCTTGTTGTGTCTCCAAATTGGACCAGGGCACTCACAAGGGGGCAGCAGGGATTTGCCTCAGTTTGGGTGGGCCTTATACAGCCTGACCTGGGGTATGCTCATCCTCCCAAGGTGCTGGTGTTCAGGAGCTTTTGCCTAAGGGTCTAAGGGTCACTTTTGACCAGTGGGTAACTGTACCATGTCCCTAGGGGCTTATCAGAAGCCCTGAAGTCGTGGGGGGGCTTTCAATAAGGTACCTGAGGGTGGTTTTGTCAGGTGGGTCCCTGCATGGTGTGGTCTGAGAAGTGCACTGGCTCCCAAGGTTTCTAATCCTTCTTTATTGGTATGTTTTATTCTCTAGACACACTGAACCAAAATTATTTCATATTCTACACCTCACTTCAATATTTAACTATCTAAATGATTTTGTTTCTGATGATTAGCTTTTATAACTTTGTTTCATGTTTTTTTGTTTGTTTTTAAACAAGCTTGTGTTGAAGAACTTTATATATGAGCATTATTAGAGGATGAGTTGTTTGCCCAAAGCAATTCTAGCTCGCAACCTCTTTAAATCCTCACTTTCAAGGTTTTCATATTACTCAGGTAGGGTAGCCTGAAAATTGGGATGAAAACTAATTTGGAGATACTGCATCTTCAAAGAAGAATTTATTCCCTCCCTTGCCTATACTGAAATAGGTTTGTTCATATGTTTCCAGGGTGGATGGTAGGTGTAGGAAGTTGGGTATGAGTAAAGTGAGTTATTTCAACAAACTTGATGAACATGTAGATTTTCTAATTGAGTTAGTCCACTTCATTTCACTTGGGTAAATAACCAAGCTGAACCGGCCTCCCCTCTTTACTTGCCTTACTGGTTTCCCACTCTCACTTCAGTTGGGACTTTCTATCTTTTGAAATTTCTCAGTACATGGATGCATTAAAAATGTGTGTAGTATTTAATCTAGCAAGTATGTTTTTCAGTTGGAGTGGTGGTAGGGTATTACTAGAAAGAACTTACAAATACTTAGTTCTAATTAGATATATTTACATTAAATGCCAGGTTCATAAAGTAGAAATGTTTTCGTCTTCTGGGGAATGCTCAATGAACTTAAGATAATATTATATTTTAAGTTGAAAACAATGCATAAATCTGCATAGCTCCTGTTCTCCAAATCACAAGCTTCAGCAAGAGTATATATTTATGAGAATGACAATATTTAGAAAACAAAATGCAAAATAAAAAAAAATTCAAAATGAAAGATTGCATAGGCAGATTACTAGGTATACATTTTGAAGGACTAACCTGACTACTAGCTGTTGTATATATTTTGGTTATATGTAACACATTGTTGTGATAATTAGCACCTAAGAAAAAGAATGACGCTTCAGAAAAAAAGTATATAGGAGTGGGCTTGAAGGAAGTAAAATTTGACTTGTTTGATTTACTGTCATAGGCAGGCAATAAGGGCTGTTGAACAGTGTCAAGTATATTTAAAGTTAAGCAAATCATTTTTACTCCCAATCTTTGACTTTTAACCAAAAATCCATGTCAATTTAAGTTTGAACATTTTGCCAAGAGAGGGCAGTGTTCATCTGCAGAATAAAACAGGACTGAAGAATTACAGAAGAGAAGGTGAATGAATTTATTTTTCCTCAAATGGTTGATAAAATTTGACAAAACCAACTCTCTATGCTCTATTTTTGTCTCCCACTCTGTCACCTGGGATTGTTGCCTAAATTGAACCATTCATGTTTTAACTTGTTTTTCCAGTTTTTACATTTTTTAAAGTGCTTGTGTAGGCATGCATTTGGACATTTTAGTTTTGAAAACTAAAATCAAAAGGCTTCCTTAAATTACCTGTTCACAGAGTGACCAAAAAGTCTGTGTTTAATTGCAAAGCATATTTATTGAAGAAGTCTGCTATTTTCATTAGTGTCCCTGGGACCAATTCTTACTTCAGTGAATGTTGCCAGTTAAAACTGCTCATGAAAAATGTGTTTCCAGATTTTGAATTCAGAGGAGGCTCACACTTGTTCTGTATTACAAACTTTGTACACATGTTCAGTTATCTGTGTGTCTCCTAGGCAAGTAGGTATAATCATTCATGGTCTAAACATTAAATATTAAAGGAAGAAGCCCGAGTTTACTGGTTTCAGTCATGTATGAGTGAAGTGCTATGGCTTTCAGGAGTACAATGAAGATGATGAAAACATTTGAGAGCTGAGGCTGGAGGAGGGAGGGGCTATATGCTACTAGATCAACTAATTAGAACTCTGCCTGACCTTCAGGATTCGGTAATGTTAACTGATAAAAGGAAGAAAAGTTGTTCTGCGTGAATCCAATACATAACTAATCAACTTGTGCTTCAGAAGAACAGCTAGAGGCTACGAGTCTGGGGCTTAAAATGTGCGGTGGAAGCAAATTTAGAAAAAATCTGTGTTTTTATTCTGCTGCCTGGAGATAGTATGTATGCTTCAGAAAGAGACTATTCGCACCAAAAATCTTCTGATGTCTGGGAATCCAGCACCCCCTAGGCTTGCTGCCCTCAACCCTGTAATGTGATCTTTCTTCTTCTGGATTGGCCAGATGCAGCACTTTCCCTGGGAGCTGCACTGAACTAGAGCTCCCAGCTTGGTGCAGCCAGCCCAGCAGCAACCACTGCCTCACCACCACCACCAGCCACCACTGCAGCTTTGCTTCCTCCTGCTGCTTCACCTCCAGCAGTGAATGGAGCCATGGAAGCCAGAGTCTTCTGCTGGACCACTTCCTTTCTCTTGGTGGTGTGGTGCTTGCCAGTGCTGGCCTGCCCTAGCCGGTGTCTTTGCTTGAAGAGTACTGTCCACTGCATGCACTTGATGCTGGATCACATTCCTCAGGTGCCACAGATGACCACAGTCCTGTAAGTGCACACAAATTCCAGCTCAGCAATATGCTCCCTTCCCTCTGCTGAGAATGATCGCTGTTCTTTTAATGCAGGGTTTCTGAGGCTTTCCCTGCTTACATAATTGGAAGAGGATTTTTCACTTTTTAAACCACTGTATGGTTCAGTTCAGACTAGAAAATGTGAGAATGATGTGTTGAAATAAATTATGTGTTAGGGCTGTAGCTCTCCTTTCCAGAACTCTGAGAATTTTCGGCTTTAATCCCTCTTTAAGAATTATCCTGCATAGGTTTTCATTATTCCTTTTCATCCTCTTTTCCAAACCTTTCAGACTACTAATTGGTTCAGCATGCATCTATCCCATTTGGAAAGAATTAATTTAGCTTCAGTATGATTCCAATTTATTATGTGCTGGGATTTGTTTCTTCTGTTCATTTTTGGACTTTGGATTCTGTGTGCTTCCCAGGTGAGTGGTGGCGTTAGTCTTAGAGCCTTAAATATTGCAGATTTCCCAAGGTAGGCCCTTCAGTGGCCTAGTAGAACACAAGGTACTTAAAAATATGACTAGGCAGCAACTAACTCAAGAACATCTAGAAGGTATTATGAGATGGTAGAATAAACTAAAGTTCAAGACTCAATTGGACCCAGATTAAAATCTTCCTTGCATTTAATATGGGGGTAGTAAACCTCTATCGTGTAATTGGCATTTAGATTAAAATAAGTGTGAATAAAAATCTTATAAATGTCAACCTTTATACAACAGAAGAAAAGAAACTATGAAAATAAATGCTGATTCGAAAATTTTACTATAAACTTCTGCAAATTCTGTGATGTATTTGGAAGAGACAATATCTTTGTCCTTTTGGGGGCAGAGGAAAAGATGTTTGAAAATTTGAGATAGATATGATAAGTAACCTATGTTTTGGTCGTAATCATGAAATGAGGGCTTAATTTGGTAATGAAAAGTTTAGGTTGGGTGGTTGGTAATTGCATAAAAATAACATAGTGTTCATGTAAATCTTTTTCATGATTTTTATCTGTTAATTTTATATATTTACAAATATCAAGTATGGAGGCAGAAAACAAGACAGATTCTTAAGCCTAGGATCAATGCCTTCTGTGACCACCCCATTGTCTTTTTGTAATAATTGCGTCTGATAGCAACAAAGCCTTACAGAAAGGATAGCTTGTCTAATAAAATGCTATGGAGCAGAAGAAAATGCTACCTAAGGTCCAGTTTGTACCTAAGTTTTTGTTTCCTAGATACTTCAAATAAGAAATCAGTATTATTAGGTTCTCTCTTCTGGGGGCAATGAACAGACTGAAGGGGCATTGGCAATGTAATCCATTGCCAGTAGCGCTTTCTACTGTCTGCAGAAATCAAACCTGATGACTGGGGTTTCAGGATCTCCGGGGCCTGCCTGAGAGCCTGATGCTACATAGTGTATGTGTGTGGCCTTGGGTGAGTGTTCAACTTCTTGGTGTTTCAGTTTCCTAATCTGTAAAATGGGAGTGTTCATCATGTACCTGTCTAGGGTTATGCTAAGAGTAGCTGAGTTAACTCATGTTTAATACTTAGGAACGTTTCAGTCTTTATTAAACTCTACAGGGATAGTTTGCTATTAATGTGTTTACAATTAAGGACAAGCGACAAATACATACCTATGGAAAACTGTTAAAGTAATATAAAGGAAATGGTGGGTAAAACACGAACTCCAATGTGAATAAAATGACGGATTAACACCTGACCTTGAAGTTGGAGTTTAGGGCGGACAGTGAGGACAGATTCAGTCAGCCCAAAGAGCCGATCAGCTGTGAAGTTGATTATCACCTTAAGGCAACTTGGTCGTGTTGTCATTGAACTTGCCATATATGTCAAGAAAATATGGAAGCCCAAAATGAGGCTCCTAACTTTTACATAATAGCAGCTAGTTAAAATTTTAAAAGCTGAACAACAAAAACATACAGCTGTACATAATTGTAGCTTACTTTCAGCTCAGGACCTGCAGATGTGACCTGTCAGAGAATTTGAGATAAAAGCTGAGAAGTCTTTGTCAAGTCTATGGAATTGGTCTTCTACTTCTAGGCCAAAATCCTTGACCTAGGATCACATATCATGAAGGACTGCAACTAACCTCCTTAAAATAATAATTCTGAAAATAAAAAGACCAATCAACTTTTAAAGTTAGAACAAATGGAGTCTTTTAAAAATCTCTCCATCACAGCAGAATCAAGAATTTTTGGTGAGCCATATATGTATTGACATCATAACAGAGGATACTGTGTAAATCAAATTTGACACTATAGATGGTCAAAGTGCTTCTTAAATATAAATAAGTAGTACTTTATAATTTCCTTATAGTTTCTTTACATATTTAAAACTAATTTAACTTTAAAATAAAAAATAATTTAAAAATGAAAGATATTTCTCTCAGTCACAGATGGGAAAACCTCACTTTGAGATTGATGACAATCAAATTTTAAAGTTTAGGAAAAGTATAAAACTTTCCTCCCTAATTCTATTATAATTCCATCTATATAGATTTATATTTATTCATTGTATATTCAAATATCATTTATCAGATATGCTACCATTTACAAAATGTCACTTCTCCTGTTGAATGGGTGAAGTTCTATATACTTACTTACTTTAAAGGCATTTCCTTTAAATAGTAGACTTTTCTTACCCTCAAGGAATATAAAACTAGAGGGTAATACTGGGACTGGGAGATGGGAAAGAGTTCAGTCATGAAAAAATTTAGCCTGCTGATAAAAGTTTCATCTTGTTCAGGAAGAAGCGAGTTTCTACCAGTTCTTTCCAATTTCTATTTCAGCTAGAATTAAAAAAAAAAAAAAATAACTCTTTCATTATGGTGACCTCTGAACCAGATTTTTTTCTGACTTCTTTAGTGCTAGCATAACTGTGGCTTTGGAATATCACTTAACAGTAATGAACAGGCTTAACTCCTTAAGTGTTTCTCTATTTGGCACGATTGAAGTGAAGCATGAGAGGACCAAGCTGAATGATCTCCGGTTCAAATCTTTCCCAGTTGTTGACCTTTCAGGAACACACATGGAACTAAAAGTTGAAGTGCATTTCATTTTTAATTGCCTACTTAGTAGATCAGGGCAGACTATTGCAACAAAATTCCCCAGCCTTAAGCGTTTAATACAAAACAGCTTCACTGTTCTTATGACTCAGGCCAGTGTGGTCCTGGGAGAGGAAAAGACTAGAAGGCCACACAATGTGACCAGAGCCCCAGCACACAAAGTAGAAGGAGAGAGAAGGAGACAAGGAAAGAAGGAGAAGAGGCCAGGTCCAGGGCTGCAGAGGATCAACACTTCCAGCTATTAATACCATGTTCAGGATATGAAGCACAGTAGAAATTCGGGAGCATTAGTTTAAAAGATCTACAGTAGGGTGTAAAATGCAGAATTTAGTGTGAGAAACACTACTCTGTTCCATGAACTTAGTCAGTTTATACCACTTAAGTATATGTAGCAGGCGACTTGTCAGTCCCAGTGAGGTCCAGTGTAAGACCTCTTTGTTTTGACTTTATAGAATTTTCTGAAATCTGGATAAGCAGGAAATGGAATGCCATCTGGGCTATGTTCATTTGGGGTTCTTTATGTGACAGAGTTGAAGACATCTAGTAGGAGATTACAGGAAGCTGAAACTACAGTTTTCTCCACTGAGCTCTCCCTAAGGTAGCTAGTAGAGTTCAGGTCATAGTGTTGAGACAAGGTCACCTCTCCAGGCGAACACATTAGAGGGGCCCCATCCAGTGGCAGAGACTGACTGGCTGAGAAAGCCGCTATAGGGAAGGAGCAAAATATTTCCTAGTGCTAGTGTGACCTGCTGTTGTGGTGTCCTGGACAACAGTTGGCAATCTGGAAGGTTTCTCACAGAAGGGTGTTGTAGGGATAGTTTAAGGGGTTGTGCTAAGTAAAAGAAGGGTGGAGATAATACTAGGTGATGTCACTTATATATGGAATATAGAAAACCCAAAGACACACCTTACCACCAGCAACCTACCCTTGAAAACGGACCATTCATCACTGGCTTTCAGCAGAGGAGGACGAGGGAGAGGTCCCCAGTCTGGAGTATGGTAGGGAAACATGATAGACTACAGAGGAGCACTGAGAGTGCTTTGGTGGCGGGAGGGCTGCAGTGACACTTGGTGGGGGGAAATCTGACACTGTCAGAACACTAGCAAAGATATAAAATAATATTACTTCAGTAAGAATGAAAATTAAACATATAAAGTAATTCCATTTTTTTAAAGATTTATTTATTTATGCATACAGAGGTGCAGGGGTGGTGAGAGGATTCACCAGAGATAGATTGGGGCGGGGGGCAGAACAGGCCAACTGGCGAAGTACACAACTGAGGGGAGCAGCGGGAGGGTCAGGAGAGGTCTGCCACGCCATGTGATCACCTCTGGGGCAGGGATCAAACTCATGCTGAAGTGGTTTTAGCTTCTTAGTGCTGTGCTTTAACCGGCTGTGCCACCAGGAAGTGCCAAAAAGTAATTCTATTTTAAAAAGTAGTTTCACTATCAAGGTGGGAATGAAGCCAGATTGCAAAGATTCAGGAGTCAAAGTCCTGCTTATCCAGATTTGTCAGTCACTGTGAAGTCCAGTGCAAGACCACTTTGTTTTGAGTTTATAGAGTAAGAAGGGAAAGTGAATGAATTGGATGTCATCTGAATGGGGACTGTAGACAGTGAAAATGGGTGACAAAAAGGAGGGGAAATGTGAAGAGCAGAGGACATTTTTTGAGTTTTGTCCTGGTTGAGAGGGCTCAGAAATATGGTAAATTCAGGAGGGATATAGGCAAGAGATACAGTTGTGTGTCTCACAGGGTAAGAGAATTACTAATTAAGTTGGATGGAGGAAGTGAGACTTCCTGGAATATGCTTGTCGAATGGGAATGGCTATATAAGCTAGAACTCTAGGAAGACCCTCAATTATGAAAGCAATACAAATGAGAGCCAGGACTGTCACAGGTGGCTGTA